CCTTAAGAATAATAAATTTATAAAGTTCCTTAAAAAAAAAAAAAAAATGGAATAACTCCCTTTTCATCATTTATGCATGCTTTTTTTTTTCAATCCTTCTCCAAATACCTTGAATCCTTAAAATTATTTTTTATAGAATATCAAATGACTTGTTAAAAACCTTGTCCTTTCTTGGAATCCTTAGATCCTTTAGACCTTAGGATTCCTTTAGACCTTACATGAGCTACTTAAACTTCCTTGGATTACTTTTACCCTTACCTTGATTGTTATGGGGGCTACCTAAAATTATACACCCGAACCAACTATGTGAAAGTTTACTAGTCTCCAAACAAGCAAGACTATCATTACTAGCTCAAACTAGTTTCCGTGCTGAGCAACCACTGCAACTGGTCCATACAGATTTATTTAGCCCGACCACTTCATCGTCGATTTTTGGGAATAAGTATTTTCTCTTGTTGATGATTATGGTTGTTGGATATTTGTGTACGTGCTCAAAGAAAAAGAAGAGGCATTACGTTCGTTCAAGAAGTTCAAAAGACCCGTTGAAAATAGGTCTATCACAAGCTAAAAACCTTGCACATCGACCAAGGTGAAGAATTCTAAAACCATAACTTCTCAAAATTTTGCGAAGAGTAAGTACCAAGCATCAACTCACTTTACTATACAATCCACAATAAAACGGTGTGGTCGAGCGAAGAAGTCGCACCATATTGAACACTACAAGAAGCTTACTCGAGAGCATGCAAGTCTCAATAATTTTCTGGAGCGAGGCAATAGGACATGCAATTCATCTTCTAAACTGTTTACCAACGAAGGCGTTGGACACTCACACCCAGTACAAAACATGGATCAGTAAGACACCTCACTTCAAGAATCTAAAAATCTTTGCTTGTGCAGCACATGTTAAGACTGCAAAGCCATATAGCAAAATGCTCGATGACAGAAGCCAAAAGATGGTGTATTTTGGCATCATTGGAATCGTGAGTTATAGCCGTTTAGTTTTTTGGTTTCCTACTCGATTTTCATCCAAATTCAATAGAAATTGTCCACCATTTTCCTTCAAACTTGTTCCTAATCCATCTAAACAAGATTACCCACAAGTTCTACAAAGGAACCGAGCGCTGAATGAGCCTAGAACCCATTCACCAGTACGAAGGACCATTGAAGAAGTTCAAAGAAAGATTGAAAATCTAATCCGACCATACACACAAATTCATCGAGCAAGGCCAATCCCATTCGATTTTTTCACCTTCAAGAAACATTCTTCTTGCAGACCACGAAGAGAATTAACCTTAAGAACATGTGTAATCGAAGAAAGTCAATTTTCGGTTCAAATTGGGGGTAAGTATCAAATTCCTATCTATGGTGTATTTTTCTTCAAATTGAGCATTCCTTTAGTTTACGAGGATTGAGATGAGTAATTTTGATAAGAAATCGAAAGTCAAAACGTCGTAGATCAAGTTGCCAAAGAAAGTTTAATTTGGTGTTTTCTAGTGATTTACTAACCAAAGAAAATTTCTCTAAATTTAGGTCACACACTTAAAAGACTTTCCCCCAAACCAATTCAATTAGCTAGAGGGAATAATAAAGAAGCGATTCCCAGAAAACCCTTAGAAATGGCTAGCCAATAAGCTCTTTCTACGTTGAGCTTCAGTGAGGAAATCAATTATTGATGAACTTCGGAGGAGAATGACTTAACGTACAATCCATGAGAAGGTAAGAAATCATTCCCTAACTCTTCCTTGTCACTCAGTTTTTAAGTTTCTTGAAGAAATCGAGGGGGAGAAGTGTATTATATGGAGCTGCAGAAGTAAGGTTTTAAACAGTGTGACCCTTACGTAACAACAAGCAAAGTGGAAAATCCTCGAGTGTTACCAATCCGGCCATGCAATGACCAAAATAGACAATCCATAAAGTGATCGAGGAGGACGTTGCATCATCCAACGCACCAGAGAAAGCCAAGCTAAGGAATAGGCAAGACAAATGCAATGATTTTGACATAATTATAAAAAAGAGGCTTTTTCAAGGCTAAGGTAGGGCCTTGAGCATTAACCTCTAAAGCTTGGGTTAGAGAGAATTTGGGTATGTAGTTTTGTTATTAAATCTATATGAAATATGAAAGCTCACAAAATTTTGTGTCAATCGAAGACCATACGATGCTTATGATTGTTTGCCTAAAGCATGTTCATACTTGTCAGATTTGAATCTGTTCAAAATGTATCTTAGAGGGAGGAATGATGTAAACTCTCCACCACTCCTAAGCCCTGTTGCCTAACTGAGCTAACCTGTGGCATATGCATGTGTCACAATGAAGGTGAACGTTGCTAGACGTGTGCCTCGTGTGACTTGCATTGAAGATGTTGTTTGAAGAATAGTATATGAAACGCCCTAGTTTCTTAGCCAAAATTAGTGGCGCTACACAGACATGCTTTAATCTCATAGGCTAAAGTTCATAATAAATAATTTTAAAATAAAATCGTTGACTTATATATTTAATTTAAAACAATAAATTAAACCTAACATATTTTTTAATATATATATAAAAAAAATTGCATTTAAAACACTTACCAACTACTAAATAAAATTCAATGCGTTCTATTGCTCTATCATGCCCTATTTTAACTTCCATGATATTTCTAGCATTCACCGTCATCCGAGTGTGGAGCTTTACCTTTACATGGAAAGTATAAGGGTAACACATGACTTGAGTATTTTACTAAATACTTAGTAATTCATTTGACGGTTGGGTTTAGCAATGCAATCACACACATAACATGATTGAGACCTATCTTAAAATCGTCACATGTGCTTGGACTATTTTCAGTTTCGGGCAAGGTGGGCTCATAACATGATTGCACCTTTGCAGCAGTAAAGTTTTGGAATGTTTATATATGTTTTTTATAATATTATTTTCATACAAATATTTATAGACCTTTGTTATAATATTATTTTCATACAACCCATTTAAAACGTTAACACTAAGATGTTTTTTGGTATTTAAATTCTAATAAATAAATAAATAAATAAAATAATATAAATAATTAAAATATAAATAATTACAACAAAATAAAGATAAGAGAAGGAAGGTGTAAAATATAATTACGGTACTGGCAAATTATCAAGAGACATCTTTCTCGTTGAANCTGCAATATAAAATTGAATACTTTTAGATGTGAAAATAATTAATTTATTATTGTGATTAGTGTTTGACGAACACGACTCTCCACAATGGTATGATATTGTCCACTTTGAGCATAAGCTCTCAATGGAGAGTGTATTCTTAGATTATAAACCCATTACCATTCCCTAAATTAACTAATTTGGGACAACATTTCCTAAATTAACAAATTTGGGACTCTTTCATCTAACAATTAGATCATTATGACTCCAGTAAAAAAAAAAAAAAAAAAATGTTAGATGTGATATTTTTTTTCTAGTTAAAGTTTATTACAAATATTTTGCAAGTTTCAATATATACCCATAGCTAATTGAGAATATTCCTTATCAATATTAGGTTGATTTATGATAATGACAATTAAAAAATAAGAAGCAAATAGAAAACATTGAAATCAACGTGGCTCATAGAGTATAAAGCATGTATTGTCTGCTAAAAATCGATTAAAATGTTGTTTTAATCCATCGCCAAACGTATTGTTAAACTAAAAGAATTTGACATCTCTTTTATACATAAATTCATGTATTATCTTTAAATTCTTAAATACGCCTACTGAAATTTTAGTTTGTTTGGCCACTGTTGCCATGACTCAATGGCGGCCGAGGAACACTACGGCTTAAAGAAGTTACAAATGTATCAGTTGTCGGTGGTGGTAAATAAGGAGAAAACTGGGTGGATAACGGTAGACGGCAGAGCTTCATTGCACTTGTACAAAATTGTCAGAGAACAAAATTGAAACCTTACGAAATTACAAACATCCCATATTTCGATACAAAATTCTGTGTTTGAACTATGCTTAGTTTTAAATCATTATATCTCAAATCACAAATTAAGAGTCATTCCAACATCTTAGAGGATGTCTTTCTGTTCAACCCTATTGGATGTCTTAAATACGGCGGCTGAAATCTTAGTTTGTTTGACCATTGCCGCCATGGCTCGGTGGCGGAGGAACACTTCAACTTAAAACAATTATAAATGTATCAATTTTCGGTGGCTATAAAGGAGTATGAACTAGGTCGACCGTTGTGGATTGCAGAGCAAAGTCGCACTTCAACTTAAAGCAATTATAAATGTATCAATTGTCGGTGTCTATAAAGGAGTATGAACTAGGTCGACCGTTGTGAATTGCAGAGCAAAGTGTATAAAATTGTAGAAGAAAAAAATTAAAATCTTACAATATTTTTGTGGAGTTGAAATTTCCATTTCAAAATTCTATTATTATAAGATTATAATAATTTAATTCATTATATCGATAATCATTTTCATAAAATTTTGAGCCAAAATTGTTCATAAAATATTAAAAATCAAAAGTTTTTTTAATTTTATGTAAGAGACGTGAATTATATTATAGAACTTGTTTATAATATAATATAGCATGCCGCTACCCGAATTCAAATCAAGATGCTCTAGTACAACTTCCTAAGGAGCGTGTCTACCGATTTCACTATAGCAACTTTCTTGAAATAATAATAACCTATTATTATTTACTTGTCTACCGATATTTCGTATCAATTTATTGATAAATTCATTGGTTATGGTATCACTTAAGTAGATTGTGAAGTCGGTTATGGTATCACTTAAGTAGATTGTGAAGTCGATTATGGTATCACTTAAGTAGATTGTGAAGTCGGTAATGGTATCACTTAAGTAGATTGTGAAGTCGGTAATGGTATCACTTAAGTAGATTGTGAAGTCGGTAATGGTATCACTTAAGTAGATTGTGAAGTCGGTAATGGTATCACTGAAGTAGATTGTGAAGTCGTACCATATTAAAAACGTGTTTCATTAAATTTTAAAAATATCTTTAATTAAAATAGATAATAAGAGAAAAATTTTTGGAAAATCCTTCCATTTAGAAAAACAATATAGAAATAATGAATTTGCCTACAAAATAGTTGTTTGGCTTACGTTTTTCTTTGTTAATAGCCAAAGAAACATCCATGATTAACAATTACTCTCAAGCTTGTGTGCTACTTGGTGTAATGGTCGATGCAACGCTTCCAATTGGTGCAATGGTTGGGGTTTGAGCAATGCTGCTTCCAATTGGTGCAATGGTCGGGGTTTGAACACCATCCGATGCAGCCTCCGGGGTTTGAGCAATGCTGCTTCCAATTGGTGCAATGGTCGGGGTTTGAACACCAACTGAGGTTTGAACACCAACTGATGCAGCCTTCGGGGTTTGAGCAATGCTGCTTCCATCCGATGCAGCCTTCGGGGTTTGAGCAATGCTGCTTCCATCCGATGCAGCCTTCGGGGTTTGAGCAATGCTGCTTCCATCCGATGCAGCCTTCGGGGTTTGAGCAATGCTGCTTCCATCCGATGCAGCCTTCGGGGTTTGAGCAATGCTGCTTCCATCCGATGCAGCCTTCGGGGTTTGAGCAATGCTGCTTCCATCCAATGCAGCCTCCGGGGTTTGAGCAATGCTGCTTCCATCCAATGCAGCCTCCGGGGTTTGAGCAATGCTGCTTCCATCCAATGCAGCCTCCGGGGTTTGAGCAATGCTGCTTCCATCCAATGAAGCCTCCGGGGTTTGAGCAATGCTGCTTCCATCCAATGAAGCCTCCGGGATTTGAGCAATGCTGCTTCCATCCAATGCAGCCTCCGGGGTTTGAGCAATGCTGCTTCCATCCAATGCAGCCTCCGGGGTTTGAGCAATGCTGCTTCCATCCAATGAAGCCTCCGGGGTTTGAGCAATGCTGCTTCCATCCAATGAAGCCTCCGGGATTTGAGCAACGGTTCCAATTGGTGCAACGCTGCTTCCATCAGATGTTGTAGATGCTGCCTCCGAGGGGGTTAGAGCAACGCTGCTTCCATCCGATGCTGCCTCCGGGGGGGTTAGAGCAACGCTGCTTCCATCCGATGCTGCCTCCGGGGGGGTTAGAGCAACGCTGCTTCCATCCGATGTTGCCTCCGGGGGGGTTAGAGCAACGCTGCTTCCATCCGATGCTGCCTCCGGGGGGGTTAGAGCAACGCTGCTTCCTTCCGATGCTGCCTCCGGGGGGGTTAGAGCAACGCTGCTTCCTTCCGATGCTGCCTCCGGGGGGGTTAGAGCAACGCTGCTTCCTTCCGATGCTGCCTCCGGGGGGGTTAGAGCAACGCTGCTTCCTTCCGATGCT